CCCCAAAAAAAAAAAAAAAAAAGGAAAAAGAAAAAGAAAAAGAAAAGAAAAGAAAAGAAAATAACACCTGAATTCTAACATTTGTTTTAAAATTTTACAGAATGAAATCCATTCTCTATATGCACTTTATTAAAACTTCCCCATTCATTAATAATTTTCATACAAATTTTCAAAACGCAATTTTTTTATTTTTTTTACTTTGTTGGTCTCTTACCCAATAATTTATTGTCATCTTCTTTGTAGTTTTGTTGTGTATAAAGGTGTGTAATAGTGTTACTAGGAGTGGTGTAATTTTGCACTCTGAATTCAATTTGGAATGAAGGCTCATTTTCTCTTCGAAAGGAAACTTGTGCACAAAATTGTTGAAGAATTTTTTTTTTTTGTTTTGGTTTGGTTTGATCGGCAAAGGAAATCTTTGTTGATGGAAGCATATAAGGTATGATACAATACATCAATAAAGAAGAATTTGGAACTAACACAAAGCTCCAAGCGCCAGTTGGTGAGAAACCAGCAAACTGGAGAGCAAAAGATGCAGCCTCAACAACAAGCTAAGAAGAAAAGAAAAACACAAAAAAACAGAGATTTGCAGTAGAGGCTGATAGAGCAGCACCAAACTTCATCCCAAAAACAGCAGCACAGCAGCAGTTCACCTCAAAGCTCACACAAAGCTCACACAGCAGCATTTCACCACAAAAACTCACACAGCAGCAGTTCACACAGCATCAGTTCAACACAAAGATGCAGAACTTCACCCAAATTGTTGAAGAATTTAACAGTGAATGAGAATTGATTACATTCGAATGAAAGAATGCAATATTTTATAGGGTGCCATCTAAGAGTCATTACTTTAAAAATGGTCATGAACACTTTTATAAATACAATTCTCATACCATTTATTTCTTATAAAATTTTTAATATTTATACAGCATGTCGAATATAAAAGAGACCGTATATAAGCTAAATTAATTTACTTTACACATAAAAAGTTATAATTTCTATGTGGTGATATTATATCCTGCCGACAGGACTACTAAGGGGTGGAGTGGAGTAATGATTCATCCCCCCTTTTCCTCCACCCCCTTTGACCCCCTCTCTTTCTTATTGGTTACCTTTTCTTTTTCTTTTTCTTTTTTTTCCTGTTCCACCAATCATCCCCTGTCACGTGACAAAGGGGGTGAGGGGGTGACCCCCAAAAGGGGGTCTCAAGCATTATTCGGGTGGAGTGGGAGCTAGGCCGCTGTGGTCCCTGCAAAGATGAAAGTTATTTTAGGGATTGGCTCCCCCAATCCAAAGCCAACTATTTACCCATTTTAAGACTTGTGCTATAAAAGTCAAAACCCATTAATTGTGATAAGTTAGTAATGTGATTCTTAGAATTTAGACTTTTGTATTCATACAATTTCAATGAAAAAAAAAAAGAAAAAAATTATAATTATAAAAATTTTATATTGGATTTTTAAAGTGATATATTTTAATGCCGTTACGTTATTATATAATTTTGTATATTTTTTCTTTTTGTGGATTATTTATGTCATTATAAGTACAAAGGCAAATATATATATAGTCTCCATTATTAATACATATGTAATATTCTTTTAATTCTTTTGTTCTATATTAAAGCATCTCTAATGCTTATTCCTTTTTTTTTTTCTTCCATTAAATTTGAGTAAGGATTTCAGTTAAAAATTTCATCTGGCACCCCAACCGTTCTAATGTTAAATTTTCAATTTTCATCAAATAACGGGTCAACCGAGAGGACGACCGAGAGGATGTCTGGGTGGTCACCCACTCGGTTGTTTGGCCGATCATTCATCTGGTCGTCTACCAATGGTCACTTGTGAGATTTGATGAAAGTTAAACACTCTCTTAATTTGATGAAAAAAGTAAGGCTCCCTCCATTTGATACCAATTTGGTGAAACAGTTGGAACATTGTTTTCACCAAATTTTAATCAAATTTAAATTTGATGAACGATTTGAGTTTGAGTTGGAGATGATCTTATGTGAAGAAAATTATTTATACAATACATTTTGTGTTATACATGTATTTATTAAAATTTTGTTAAATTTTATTTGCATATTTTATTAATTTTTTTTCGTTTTTATGCTTGTAAAAGTGGATATTTTTCTATAACATATAAATGATATTTTCGTCAATAATAAAATAATTAAAATTTTATTATCAATTCCAAATGCATATAACTAGCCTCCCCTCGTGTGTCCGCATGTCCGCCACTCTGTAGGACGCCCAATAATCCAAGCATCAGAGGCAATAATGAATTTCTGTCTTAAAGACATAGTGTTCAAATACTAATCTCAGTCACAATTTATTCCGACTTTTGTAGAATTTCTTCTGCAAGGACTTTCTTCTGCAGTTTTATTTTTATTTATTTGTATTAAATTGATTTTTTCCAAAAATATTTTCCTACAAAAATTTCATTCTTGTTGAAGTATGAAGCTGGGGGAAGGAAAAAAGAAAGCAAAGGATGATTATAGCTTTTCCTGGTCTTGTGTGGAAATGGATTCTTGGAAAAGGCAAACATTGTGTATTTTGTCGCCTTCAGGCTGTGTCTCTGTTATGCCACTCTCTGCTGACTTTAGTTCAGTGCCATCAATTTAGGTGGATGTGTTCTGGAATTACTAAGATCAATTAGATCATGGTTTGAAGCTCACAAAATGGGTGCTCTGTTGTGATGTGGTGGGCAAATTGCTTGCTCTGTTTCAAGATCTCCATCAATGTTTGGCTGACTTGTTTCTTAACTATATGTGTCTGAGTTATTTTATTTTATTTTTTTTTTCAGCTGTGAGGTGTTGTATTTTCATAGGTGGTTGTTTTTGTTGGCACCTTGCCAACCTATGGTATCTTTCTCTTGGATTGAGTTTTTTTTTAGACGTGTGCCAATTTTATTAGGATGTTGGAATATGTCTTTCGGCCATATTGTTCTTTTCTTTATTATCTCATTGTATTTTTATATTTTGAGTTGATTTTTTATTTATTCATAAAAAAATAAAAAAATAATGCAGTGTGAGTTTATCTTTGTAGTGCTCCATTCCTTTTAATAAAATTTTACTTTTAAGGATCCAAAAAAAAAAAAAAAAAAAAAACTATATTGATTGCTTATCAAACAATAATATAGTGCATCTTGTTGAAAAAAATGGTTTTTTGGTGACTTTAATTAAATATTAAAGTGGGTCTCAATCGTCTATTGTGTTGGGTCCAAAGGAGTCTAGATACTTTGTAATAAGATCTTTACACCACAAATAGAATGGGCAAAAATCATTGAGAATTGAATGAGAAATTGCCCCATAAAGTTAGCCTCATGACAGAGTTAATGAGGTTTGTAACTTCTGCCTTTATTGTAGAGTTTAATAGTGCATTAATGAGATTTGTAACTCTTGCCTTTATTGCAGAGGTTAATGGTGCATTAGTGACCAGCCATAAAGGCTGGAGGCTTCTCCTCTCTCCCCTATATATGTATAAATTGAGACCCTCCTGTCAAGTCTCAAACACAGAAATTGTTTATTCCATTCTTTAGTCAGTTTCCCAGAAAGTTCCTACTGTGAGAGAGTACTGCCACTGTTTTTGTTCGTTAAGCTAACAGTTCGCTAAGCTAGACAGAGAGTGCTTCTGCCGTAGTTGGTTTTTGACCATCCTATCCTAGGAGACAGACACCGGGAATCCTCAAGCACTTGACTCGTGAGGCGGCGAAATCTGTTTTAAGGAAACTGCTATCGTGTAGGCTTCAGTTTGGTTTCTTTACCATTTTATTGTTTTGTATATTTCTATTAAAATTTAATTGTAATTATCATCATATGTTCTTAGTATATATTTTTGATTTCTTCATAAATCTATTTATTTAATTTCACAATTTGAAGAACACATCTATGTAACGAAATCATTTTCGGTGTGACTTGCATTCGCCAATTTTAAATCCACACCATCCACCTCATTTTCAAGATAATTTTCTAAATTGTCATTACTGTAAGATGGATAGAGGATGCTTTTTTAGATGGCACTTCCATTGAAATGTTATTCAATAAATTGAAATATAATATAATCTATAATTTCTGAGTAAAACTTCGATAAGAAAAGCATGACACATCATAAAACTTCATTTTAGCAACCACAAATTGTAACAATTTTGGGTGTATATTTGCAGTTGTTGTTGAATGTTGATGCTACAGAGCTGTTTTTGGCCTTCGGTGTATATCTGGAACTTGGGGGATTATTTTACCTTGGAGGTGATCTGTTATTTTTATTTTTTTCTTTTGCTTTCTTGACTGTTTTGATTGGATTCTCTTCAATCATAGGCTAAGTGCTGGCATATGATTGAACTACCTCTTCAGTGCTAATTTAGTTGGGATTGCCGAGTTTAGTTATAATGCTCGATGGACTTTCTTGCTTTATTGTTGTAAGTTTCATCACTTTTATTTTGTTTCTTCATCAATAAAGATTACTTTTTTGTTGATGAAAAAGAAAAAAAAAGAATGTAACAACTTCGTCAAAAAAATTGTGTAACATTTATCACAATTTTTGTTTTTAATATTTATCAAAAAAATATGTAACAATACGTACACAACCTCTTTTATATATAATTGACCAAATGTGACAATTTATTTAAAACACTAGAAATAAAAATAAAAATACAATAAAAATATTTATGTTTAGTCATATATTAATTACAAAGCTGCAGATGATTACTAATAAACACTAGTATAATAAGAATATTTTCAAATCATAAGGGTGATGAATCATCCTTACTTTCTACCTGGTAGGTCTATCATTTGTCAATATATTATATATTTATCAATCTTATTTATATTGGGTTCAAGTCACGAAAGCAATCTTCTTCTTCCTTTTTTTTTTTTTTTTTTTTTTTTTTTTTTTTTTTTTTTTTTTTTTTTTTTTTTGGTTTAAAAAAAATTTAAGACTGAATATACTATTTTAATAAAAATCTCGTGCATGACTCATAATTAATATTGTGCCTCTATAAATACTTATCTCAGGTGTTTGCTATTGTAACACCTAAAGCAAATGGCATCATCAAAACCAAAGGGGTTAGGGAGTTCACTGACCATTCAAGAGCTTGCCAAAGAGCCCATGCTTGTCATCCCAGAGCGCTATGTTCGTTTAGATAACAAACCTTGTTCAATTCTCTCCGAAGATGGCACTTCCCAAACCATCCCTACTGTTGACATGCAACTATTACTTATGGGTGAAGCAACCGACTTTCAACTAGACAAGTTGCATTCCATTTGCAAAGAATGGGGCATCTTTCAGGTTTTCATCTCACATATATCTTCATTTTATTTTATTTTATTTTTGTTATATTGCTTTCGTTAGTACATCGGAGGCTGTATCATAAAGAGAGATAACAAGCCTCAAATTATTAATCTCTTAGTCAAGTGCAATAATTTTGGCTAATTAAATTAGCCTATTTTAAATTTTATTTTATGAGCGAAAAAGATAGCTATTATTAAAGAACCCAAAAGAGTGGAGCTAGTTCAGTTGATTGCACACTCAAATCGCTTTTAGGGTGACTATATGAACCAAGATTTTCATTCTATGATTTTTTTGATTGACAGAAAAAAAGTTTATTGGTAAAAAGGGAGTATAAGACCGGTACATAAAAAAAATAATAAATAAAAAATAAATACAATTACATCAATAAAAAGGTCAGGAAAAATATTATTACTTAGGAACACATTCTAATTAAGTGGGCACTTGATCCAAAGCCGATCATATGCAAGCATCCAAAAAAGGACAAAAAAAAAAAAAAAAAAAAAAAAAAAAAAGGAAGAAGAAGATTGCTTTCGTGACTTGAACCCAATATAAATAAGATTGATAAATATATAATATATTGACAAATGATAGACCTACCAGGTAGAAAGTAAGGATGATTCATCACCCTTATGATTTGAAAATATTCTTATTATACTAGTGTTTATTAGTAATCATCTGCAGCTTTGTAATTAATATATGACTAAACATAAATATTTTTATTGTATTTTTATTTTTATTTCTAGTGTTTTAAATAAATTGTCACATTTGGTCAATTATATATAAAAGAGGTTGTGTACGTATTGTTACATATTTTTTTGATAAATATTAAAAACAAAAATTGTGATAAATGTTACACAATTTTTTTACAAAGTTGTTACAAATTTTTTTTTTTAATTAACAAAAAAGGAACCTTTATTGATGAAGAAACAAAATACAAGAGATGAAACTTGGATTAATAAAGTAGGGAAGTGCATCGAGCATCATAGTAAACTCAACAATTCTGTAGTTTTTTTTTTTTTTTTTTTGAAAAATAACAAATCAATAGTACTTTCTCAAAATAATTACATAAATTTTACAAATTTTAATTGCTAAAGTCATAATTTTTATTTTATTTTATGAATCTGTAATTATTTTGAAAAAGTATCTCTAATTTGCAATTTTCGCTTATTTTTTCCTATAAAAATCTGTCTTACAATATCCAAAAAAATTCCAATGCAGATTAGATTTATTCTAGATGAAGTTCACACGACATAAATTTGAATATATCCTACATATTGTATTTTTTGGACATTTTTTTTTGAATACCTAGTATTTGCGATCAAAAAATGTAGCATGGGGCTCGATGACACTTTACAAAAATTCTAAAGAGTCTAAGCCTCCGTTTGAGAAGTGGGTTGGCTTTTTGGCTTTTTGGCTTTTTTGGCTATTTTAGCCTGGGGCTAAAAAGCCTGGTTTGGGAAGGGCTTTTTGGCTTTTTTGGCTTTTTGGCTTTTTGGTGAGGTGTGATGTTGTTAAATGACGAAATTGCCCTTTTCCATTTTTTTGATTTTTTTATTTGGGTTTGGATTTAGCATATTTTCGGTTTTTTTTTTTTTTTATTATACAAATTTGGCTTTTTGTTGGGAACAAAAATTTGGTTTTTTTCTTTTGGTATTTTTTTTTCCATTTTTTGATTTTTGTTTAAATTTATTTATTTATTTATTTTTGGATTTGGCATTTTTTTGTTATTTTGTTTTGGTATTTTTTTTTCCAATTTTTGATTTTTGTTTAAATTTATTTATTTATTTATTTTTGGATTTGGCATTTTTTTGTTATTTTGTTTTGGTATTTTTTTTTCCAATTTTTGATTTTTGTTTAAATTTATTTATTTATTTATTTTTGGATTTGGCATTTTTTTGTTATTTTGTTTTGGTATTTTATTTTCCAATTTTTGATTTTTGTTTAAATTTATTTATTTATTTATTTTTGGATTTGGCATTTTTTTGTTATTTTGTTTTGGTATTTTATTTTCCAATTTTTGATTTTTGTTTAAATTTATTTATTTATTTATTTTTGGATTTGGCATTTTTTTGTTATTTTGTTTTGGTATTTTATTTTCCAATTTTTGATTTTTGTTTAAATTTATTTATTTATTTATTTTTGGATTTGGCATTTTTTTGTTATTTTGTTTTGGTATTTTTTTTTCCAATTTTTGATTTTTGTTTAAATTTATTTATCTTGCAATGACAGTTTTTGGGTTGATGGCAAAAGCTCTAAAGATTGACAAGGGAGAGATGGAGGAGATGTTTGATGATGGAATGCAATCAGTGAGAATGTCATACTATCCTCCATGTCCCCAACCAGAGAAGGTGATGGGCCTGAGGCCTCACTCCGATGCTACCGGCATCACCATCCTTCTGCAAGTCAATGGAGTTGAGGGCTTCCAAATTAAAAAAGATGGGATTTGGATTCCTGTTAGTTTCCTCCCAGATGCCTTTGTTGTTAATGTAGGAGACACTCTAGAGGTTTGTTTTCCATACTCTCGCTTCAAAATTAAATATTTCTTCCAACTTACTTGTTCTGATTCTGATCCGGTTAAATTTTTTAAACCCTACCAATCATTGTCAAACCTTTTTGTTTTTTCAGGTTGAATGTGTCTTTCAAACATGGTATTGGTAGGAAACAAACAAGTGCATATATATATATATATATATATCATTCACCTATTTTGGATTGGTCAAAATTTTTAAAACCTACCAATCATTTTCAAACCTCATTGTTTTTTTAGGTTGAATGTGTAAAACAATACTTGTTAGTCCAAATTTTCATAATTTGAATAATTCGAATGTCTCAAAACGATAAACGACATCGTTTTGATACATTCGATTCATTCGAGCCGCACGAATTTGAACTACCAAGCATTTTTTGAATGTTCGTTTCAAGCATGACATGTACCAAACAAGTGCATATATATATATCATTTACCTATTTTCGATTTTTTTTTTCTTTATTTCTTTTGTGATTTGATTTTGTTGATCTGATACCATATTAAATTATTGACTACTAACTCATCCAAAAGAGAGATAAGCAATTTTATTATTTATATTTTATTCTCAACAATTTCATTTACATAACCCATTACCACAATAATTGCCATTTTGTTTTGAATCAAAGAAGAAAGTTGCTTCAACATAATTAAGTGTCAACATGTCTAGATAAGATGTATAGTACTAATCTTATTTTTACAAATTAATAGGTAAGGATGTTTAAGAAATAGTAGATATTCAAAGAATTCTAAATTAGTGAAAATTAATAACCACAATTCATATCACTTAAAAATTTTAATATTTTTCAAAATGCAGATTAAAATTAAAAAATTTAAATAATATGATTCTAACTAAATTTGTAAGTGCTGGTACATAAGTTCGTTCACTATTAGAAATTCTCTTCGTTGTTGTTACCATAACCACCATTAATATACTCCTATCGTGCAACCGCTATCGTTAACACTATTGTCACACCACCCCCACAGTTATTGCCACCGCTGCCACCTCTACTACTACCACTACTAACTTCATCAATATTGTCGTTGTCACCACAACCACTACCATTATTTCACTACTACCACCACACCGTCATTGTCACCACCTATTTCTATCAAAACTCGCAACCTCCACCACTATAGTTGTTGTTGCAATAGTCACCATCACTACTTGTCTACCTCCGCGTAGAGGTGGCAAACCCAACATAAACTTATGAACCCATCCAACTATACACATTTAAAACCAATATAAACCCGCCGAAATCAACAAATGAGCTTAAATGAGTTGTTCATTGACAACCAATTAAAATTGGATTTACATGAGTTGGGCATGGGTATCCATTTAAGCCGGTCCAAATGGAACTCCAATCCATCTCTACCACTATCTCTACCATTGTCACTCCATTACTACCACCACTCCACTACCACGACTGCCACTCTACCACTACTATGACCACCACCACTCCACTACCACTACTGCCACTCTACCACTACTACGACCACCACCACCACCTCCATCATCACTACTACCTTCTCAACCACCACGACTTTGCCGCCACCACTATCCTCGTAGACATACCACCATACCGCCACCGTCACTCATCCATTACCATAGCCATTGCCGTTCTACCACCACTGCTGTCACCACTCCACCACCATTGCCTCTGATAGACCACCAACACAACCTTCTCCTCCACTACCACCATTCCACCACCACCACCACCACCACCACTTCACCAATATATTTTTAATTTTTTTTGTAGAAAATATTTTTCATCTAAATAAATGAAGCATAACATTGGGAAACAAGCTGGTTTCAGTTAAATTTGTTCATAACTAAGAAAAATTCTTTTAATTTAAAAAAAATTATTTAGTAAGACTTTGTATTTCCTTTTTATTTTTCTAGCAAATAAATGTACATAACATGACCAAAATATGCAGTATTAGAGACGTGTCCATGACCCGGTTATATTTCTGTATGGATCACAATTTAATGGATATAATCGACACCACTCAGACTTTATTTAATAGTATCCTATGTATAATAATTTAATCTATATTTTTTTTTGATCGGCAAAAGATAAATCTTTATTGATGAACATACAAAGAGCAATATTACATCAATAAAGAGGAGCTTGGTGCTAAAAAGCACCAAGCGCCAGCTGGTGAGGAACCAACAAGAGAGAACAAGAAAAGAAGCAAGTTAACAGAAAGACTAAACTAAAAGGAACAGAGAACCAACTGGTATACACAGCTGGTAAGAGCCAAAACCTATGCACCAAAGCAGAATACCAAAAAACAAAACAACACAGAGCTGCAGGCTTCCATCTGCATCCTTCACAGTCCAACCCAAACCAGATTCAAGGTGAATTAGCCCCCAGGAACACACTCTACTGCACAGACCAAGAACATGCTCCACTGCACATTTGCCACATCTATTGGCTCCATTACACCTCCCACTATCATAACAACTACTATCCCTCTACCTTTACTTCTACCTCTACCTCCATCTCCATTTCCACTACCATTGACGTCAGCACCATAGCCATCATTGTCGTGGGCATTGCCACTTTCTTCTTCTCCTCCTCCTCCTCCTCCTCCACCACCAACACCTCACCACCACAATATATAAAAATTGAAAGATAAAATTTTAAAATAATAAATTTTATATTTCAAAATCAAATAAATTTTTTTTTTTTATAGTTCAATACTCATATTTTTATCAGACAAACATTCAACTTCAAATATTAAGTATTTAGTATTCAAAATTCAATTTTTATTTTTATAAAATATCACTTTAATTTGGTAGTTAAAACTTTATTTTTGAAAAATTAAAAAACCCCTAACGTTTGACTTTTCTTACAAAATAAATTACGAGTTTTAAATTGTGTTAATTTAAACCCTAAAAGTTTAATTTGTTCTCAATCTAAAACCGTCTAAGCATTTTCATTGAGTAAAATGGACAGAAGAAATAGTATTTTAGTTGTTGAATTCAATGTAAGTGTATATAAAATGTCTAAAATATAATTTTTCATTGAGTTTAATAATTAAAATATTCTTTTTACATTGGTTTTACTCAACGAAAATAGGTTGATGGTTTAAATTAAAAATAAATAAATAAATTAGGATTTAAAATGACAAAATAAAATATTCAGTGTTTATTTTATTACAATAGTCAAATCCTAAGTTTTCTTAATTGGTCCAATAAACTGTTCAAAATTTGATAAATTAAAAAAAAAAAAAAAGCCACTTGGACACCACTAGACGGTATATATATATATTTTTTTGATCGGCAAAAAAGAAACTTTATTGATGGAATAAATAAGTACAAGACACAAGACAAATTACATCAATAAAGAAAAGGGAAGTGCAAAAGTATCACAATGAGCTAAATGATTCCAACTAGGTTGGCACCACAAAACTCATCCTATCATTTGCTAATACCCCAAGTTGGTAAGTGACCAACAAAAAAGAACAAACCATATTAACATCAGAACGGCCACCCAATTCAGACCATTAGCCAAACATCTGAAATAAAACAACCAACCAACCAAACCTAGCACCTAAGCATAGCAGACCAGCAAATCACCAATTCGGATCTCAGCAGATCACCAATTCAGATAAAAAAGCCGAACTAGAAAGCAGAACACCAGCATCACATTCCTTAAGTTGCCAGCAATAGGCCAAATCTGTTGAGATATGACATATGACATTTCATCTGACATTTTATGAGATTTTATCTGACGGTATATGACATTTTATCTGACCAAAATTCGAGGGCAATACATGAAAAATAGTATAACTTTAAGTATTGTACAAAAAAATTGGATGGCTCTTATCAATGTAAGAAAAATATAACAGTTAAGTGAACAATGTGCGAAATTAATTTTTAAACTTTTTTCATGCATTTCCTCAAGCTATGGTCTAGTAAAATTCTAGGTTTTGCCAAGTGGCACAATGTGATATTTTATTGAGATTTATGGTATCAATTTGCAGATATTGAGTAATGGTCTCTACAATAGCATTGAGCACAGAGTAACGGTGAATTCAGTAAAAGAGAGAATGTCCATTGCAATGTTTTTCAACCCTAAGTTTGAAGCAGAGATCGGACCAGCAGCTAGCTTTCTAAACCCACAAAACCCTCCGTTATTCAAAAGGATTAGTACAGAAAAGTACTACAAAAAATATTTCTCTCGCAGGCTCAACGGAAAGTTATTCTTAGAGCAAATGAAGACTGAAAATGGAGAAGATGACACTGCTTGATGATAATCACTAGTACTCTTAAAAATAAATTAAGAAAAATAAAATATTGGTATTTGTACTATCTAGTGTGTTAAGGTTTGGAACACAACCTCGAATAACATGTCATGTTTGAGACAACGACATGCAAGACCTCCCTTCATGTGTAAGATAACCCAAAATATAACTAGCTTGCCCAACCAAACTAGTTTCTTGATCCTTTTTTATGTATAAGTAATGCGCAAAAAAATAATAAATTTGTGTGGTTTGTATGTTGAGTATTATAGTAGTTTGAAATTTGTGTATGGTTAATTACACCAAAACCCCTAAACTATTAGTAATTATCAGTTTACCCCTGTATTTATGAGCCCGTATGCACATATTGATGACCTCAAAAAAAACCAATTACTCCTCTAGAAGGGGGCTCTACTTGTTTGTTCTTTTAAGTGGGTCAAAATGTATAGGTTAGTAGATGAAAGGTAAATTGCCATTCACTGGCAGTAGGGTGTAAATGCAACCAGCCTCCTTGGAGGATACGTGCAATCGGCTTGTAATTTTCGTATCGCATTATCTCTCAAGATCATTGAAAATGTGGTCAAATAGAGTTTAACCGCAGCCCACTTAAATACATCATATGAGCTGTATAGATTTTTTTTATCCTTTTCCCACATAGGTTAAGTATCCAAACAAAAAACACCACAACAAAAAAAGATTTTTACGACGCCAAATGCACGTCATGGATTCGATTTTACGACCACTACAACAAAAAACATTTTTGACGACGTTTTTTAGCAACTAAACTTCCAATTTTATATAATCGGCAACAATATACTTGTTGGTCACCAAAAAATACACTATTGGCGACGAGTTGAGATTTTTAGTTGTCAAAAGGTTTAGCGCCAACTTAATTTTTTGCGCGGAAGTGCCAAAAATATTTTCACGACCAAATTAATATATAGTGACAAAAAGATTGGTTGCCGATTGTAATTTTTTACAACAAAAATGAAATAGTCACGGAAAAGGTGAACGGTACTTATGGCGACAGAAGGATTTTGGTCACCAATAAATTAGCTATCGAAACTACATCGTTTTGTATTTTTTTTTTTTTTTAAGACTTGACCGACCCTTTTGGTGAATAAACAAATAAGACCTAACAATTGGTCATCTCATTCTCTCTCAATCTACAACCTCAAGCGGCGCACAGCAAAACAGAGGTATGGCTCCCTCTCCCTTTCCCTCTCTCTCTCACTCTCACTCTCACTCTCACTCTCACTCTCTCACACCGCCTCCTCCTCCTATTTTTCTTCTTTGTCTATCTTCCTCTTGCTCTCGTGCGCCACCGACAGCATTTACTTCTCTCTCTCTATGTCTTTCCGAATATATGATAAATAAAAGACTATAATGTGTATATATATATATGAGTAGAGAGAGAGGGAGAGAGTGGAATAGAATAAAAAGATAATGGATTCTGAGAGGGACGGGGAGCAGGAGGAAGAGGAGTGAGAAGAAAAGAATTAGCTTCTACTTGATTAATCTTTCCTTATTGTTGTTTCCATTGTTAATCGGTTGATGAAATTTAATGAAATTGCTTGGATATTGGATTTGTGAAGGAATTGCACAGAGAGAAGAAAAAAATTAGCCTCTACTTGATTAATCTTTTCTTATTGTTGTTTCCATTTCATTTTATTTTCCTACCATAGCTTCTGGTGAATCCGAGTAAATTTCCCATGTTTAACTTCCCATTTTAGCACGTTCATCAACTTCAAATTCAAAACCAAACATATGTAGCTTGGGGTCTAACACTGAGTAATAATTCTTTTGCAAAAAGACAAACCATGTTCAGATCACAAAGTGTTACTATTAAGTTAAAAGCCGATTGTTTTGGAGACAAAGAGTGCATATATAAAGAGAAGTTATGCACAATCAATACCGTAAATTAAATAAATAAAACAATGCTAAAATCAGGAAGAATAAGCATTATGTTTGTGTTTTTATTTTTCTATTTGTGTTTTTGTTTTGTATATTTTGTTTGTTAATCGGTTAATGACATTTAATGAAATTGCTTGTTAATCAGTTAATGAAATTTGTGTGTTCTGCTTGTTAATCGATTAATGGAATTTGTGTGTTTTGCTTTCTTGTTAATTGGTTAATCTATTTTGTGTGCTCTACTTCTTGTTTTCATTTTTTTCAAAGCAATCTCATGGTCTATTCCCCTCCCACTTCCTTGAGGGGGCATGATAAGGATTTAGTTTGAACTCAAGTTCTTGCTAATGCTTAACCTATCAAAGTTCATCACAACAGCTAGAGTTAGTGTTTGTGTAATAAGGCTCCTATAAAGTAATATGGCTTTTATAATTGAACTATCAAATTCAGTTACAGCTAGAGTCGGTGAGAGAGTTAGTTAGATTTAGTTAAGAGTTAGAATTAACTCTAGCACAATTTTTGTCTACATAATACATGTATAAAAGATGCAACTCTTGTACAATTCTATCAAGTTGAATAAGAACTCAGATTTTCTTCATATTGTCTATATCGAACAATAGTGGCTTAACCTCGTTGAGGTCGTTTCATACAAACTCAATACATGACATTCATTATTTTCTTCATAGTATAGTTACAAGTTTAATGTTTTGAATATATATTAGTTTCACAATTTTGAATTTCTAATAAAAAATAAAATTAAAATTTTTTAACCATTAAATCAGATAGAGTATGATACAGTGCTTGATATCAATAATTTATGGAAAAAAGCTTTGATATGAAACTTTCTCTGAATGGGAAATGTAGAGCAGGTACATTATAGAAAAGGAATGGAAATTGTCTTCTAGTGAATATTTCTTCATCTAAAATAAATTACACTTATTTCAAATCATCACCTTATTGATAAATGAATTGAATCATGGATACTATTTCATCTCATGAATATACATAAAACTAATAAAGAGAATTTTAACATCTCACGTTTATAAAGGCAAGCAAAGAAGGAAAAAGAAAAGAAATCACTATGACTCTTTAACCTGTTATATTATGATCCTAATCTTTTTTGTTGGGTGATAATTTACAATTATCATGAAATTTACATTGTTTGCAGTTTCTTTTTTCTTTTTCTTTTTTTTTGGGGAGGGGGGGGGGGGGGGGGGGGCAAATCCCATTCCTCCATTTACAAGAAATGCCTAATAGTATTATGACATAAATTAAATATATACTACAAAGTCCCCCCTGCCTCGTTTGATAAAAAAAGGTAACCATTTTACAACCAAACAAAGTTTATTCTTTTTTGGCAAGAATACAATTGTTGTCTAGATTATAAGTACAAGCATTTATGTTATTTGACAATAAGGTAGAAAAAAAATGAAAACAGGACATGAGTATCCTTATATGTTATTTGACATTCATTTCAAGCCATAACTCTCCATTAATTTCATGTATAGTGCGATTTTGATTTAAACTTTGATTTATAATTCAAATGTTATAGGTTATTGGCTAATGTAGAGAAAGAAAAAAGCTGCAATCATTCATTGGAGGCAATTACTACATCAAGTAAACTTTAACTATATGTTAGGGCATTTTTAATTTATTTAGAGAATTTTGGCACTTTTTTTTATTATTAAATTCGAGGTTGTTAGAAGATTCACATTATGTTCCCTAATGTTTTGAGCATTCATGATATGACAAACACTTAGATGACTCATGGAACTATTTGACATGTAAACAAAATAAGACCAAATGTGATGATTAGGGATGGCTGTTGTGTTTGGTTTCAAAATCTCAATTTCATGTCTAACTCAACAAAGAAATACATCAAATAGCTAAAATAGATGAATATGCTTTTTCAAGAATAACTAAACTAATATGTAACAATTTTAAGACCACAATTTATATAGCAATTCTAATCTATATATCAATTTCATCACTTACTATATGATTCTTTTTCACCATTTACTTTGGCTTGCATATTCTACTTGAATAGTAATTCTTGTTTATCACTTACTATTGTGATGTATCATTTGGTCATGAAAGGGATGTGGAACCATAATCTTGTGGGTCACCAAAAGATATGGAACCATAATCTTGTAAATTCTCTAATTCAAAGGAATTTCACATAACCATGGCTTTGTAGGTGACCAAATATGGACAAGAGTTGGATGTTACTTAAGAATATGATGAGTTTCCAGTATCGAGATGGGGTGAAGGCTTTTGTTCAATTTGCAGTGATGAATGTAGGACCAAATGATAAGATTCGTTGCCCTTGTATGGACTGCTTGAATTGTGAAAGACATACTAGTAAAATTGTGGAGTATAATCATTCATTGGAGGCAATTACTACATCAAGTAAACTTTGACTATATGTTAGGGCATTTTTAATTTATTTAGAGAATTTTGGCACTTTTTTTTTTTATTATTATTAAATTTGAGGTTGTTAGAAGATTCACATTCTGTTCCCTAATGTTTTGAGCATTCATGATATGACAAACACTTAGATGACTCATGAAACTATTTGACATGTAAACAAAATAAGACTAATGTGATGATTAGGGATGGCTGCTGTGTTTGGTTTCAAAATCTCAATTTCATGTCTAACTCAACAAAGAAATACGTCAAATAGCTAAAATAGATGAATATGCTTTTTCAAGAATAACTAAACTAATATGCAACAATTTTAAGACCACAATTTATATAGCAATTCTAATCTATATATCAATTTCATCACTTACTATATGATTCTTTTTCACCATTTACTTTGGCTTGCATATTCTACTTGAATAGTAATTCTTGTTTATCACTTACTATTGTGATGTATCATTTGGTCATGAAAGGGATGTGGAACCATAATCTTGTGGGTCACCAAAAGATATGGAACCATAATCGTATGAATTCTCTAATTCAAAGGTATTTCACATAACCTTGGCTTTGTAAGTGACCAAATATGGACAAGAGTTGGATGTTACTTAAGAATATGATGAGTTCTCAGTATCGAGATGGGGTGAAGGCTTTTGTTCAATTTGTAATGGTGAATGTAGGGCCAAATGATAAGATTCGTTGCCCTTGTATGGACTGCTTGAATTGTGAAAGACATACTAGTAAAATTGTGGAGTATCATTTAGTTATGAAAGGGATGTCCCCTTCTTATAAGACTTGGGTGCATCACGGGGAATCTGTTCCCATGAATCAATCTCATGCATTGAATGATAACAA